CGGCACACTAGTGTGCCGCGGCACAGTGGTTGAAAAACACTGGGATAAGGTATAAATATAGTATATGGAGTACAGAAAAGCCAATAGCTGGGTTTTTCTTTTTTTTCTTTGGTAGTTGATGGTAAGATGAGTTGATGTAATTACTTAATTATACAACACAATATTGACTATGTAATAGTATACATGTGATTATATGCTATGAAAATGGAAAATAAAAACTTTCTATGTAAAAAAAGAAGAACAATTCCAGCAACAAAATGAATAAATACTAACAATAACGAACCATAATATACAGGATTAAAGAAAGGAAGGGTGAAATCAGAGAAGGAAGGAAGGAAAGAAGAAAAAGAAAGAAGGAAGGAAGGAATAAGGATGTGATAGCCCTCTAGAGGCTACTTCACTACACTTCCATCATTCCTGAGTTCTGCTGTTAAAGAAATCCTGTGCCACCAGGGAGAAGTCAAGTTGTGAAAGAGTGATTGAAATTCCTCACAAAACCTCATTATTCAGGTTAAATTGCCATGTTGGCACTTTGTGATAAATAAGTGGGTTTTGGGTTGCAGTTTAGGCACTCAGTCCCTAAAAGGTTCGCCATCACAGGCTTAAGGCCTCAAGTTGACACATTCTCCCTCAAAATACCTTTACTATTTTATTCCAAGAGCTTTTAGTTCAACATTCCTTCCTAACCATCTGAATTTTATTTCAGGATCTTCTAAGAAAAAGAGCTCCTAGACCAGTGATGGTGAACCTTTTTTGGCTCGCATGACATAAGCAGGGGAAACGCAGGCAGGTTTCAGAGTTTCAAAGTTTAATAACATTTTTATGCCGCCCAATCCCGTAGGACTCTGGGCGGCTAACAATACAAATAAATCAAAAGGAATAGAAGAAAGAAAATATAGATTTAAAAAACACACCATGCACTCCACTCCAAGTGGGGCTGGATCATATTTTGGGGTCAACAGCCCCAGGCCTGCCGGAACAGCCAGGTTTTAGTGGCCTTACGGAAGGCCGAGAGAGTGGGAAGGGTCCGGATCTGTGGGGAGATCATTCCACAGGGCCGGAGCAGCTATAGAGAAAGACTTCCCCCGAGTAGTCGCCAACCGGCATTGCCCAGTCGACGGTACCCGAAGGAGGCCCAGCCTGTGAGATCTTATAGGTCATTGGGAGGTATGTGGCATCCCATAGGTATCCAGGTCCTAAGCC